ATATTTCTTAGAAAATTAGTTAATTTTTGATTTGGATAAAATTGAGGTTGGCATCCCTTCCTTTCATTTCGATTTTTTGACAGAAACGGTTTCTTCGCGTTTTAATTAATTTCTTATTATTTTTATAATAATTAAGTGTTTAATTGTGCTTATTCATCAAGAATCCATTCCGTTTTAGTTACTCCTTGGTATGTAATTAGTTTTTATCGATTCAAAATTCTTTTTTGAAGTAATCTCTGTTTAAATTAATCATGTGTTGAGGTTAAAAATGATTATCAAAATTTTTTGGTTTATTCACCTAAAGATTACTCCAATTTTTAACTTAATAACAATTTTAATTTTAAATCAATAATGTTATTATTAATATTTCTTAGAAAATTAGTTAATTTTTGATTTGGATAAAATTGAGGTTGGCATCCCTTCCTTTCATTTCGATTTTTTGACAGAAACGGTTTCTTTTCGCGTTTTAATTAATCTCTTATTATTTTTATAATAATTAAGTGTTTAATTGTGCTTATTCATTAAGAATCCATTCCGTTTTAGTCACTCCTTGGTATGTAATTAGTTTTTATCGATTCAAAATTCTTTTTTGAAGTAATCTTTGTTTTAATCAATCTTGGGTTGTGGTTAAAAATGTTTAAAGATTACTCCAATTGTTTAACTTAATAACAATTTTAATTTTATATCAATTATAATTAATATTTCTTATAAAACTAGTTATTTTTTGATTTGGATAAAATTTAGGTTTGCATCCCTTCCTTTCATTTCGATTTTTTGACAGAATCCGTTTCTTTTCGCGTTTTAATTAATTTCTTATCATTTTTATAATAATTAAGTGTTTAATTGTGCTTATTCATCAAGAATCCATTCCGTTTTAGTCACTCCTTGGTATGTAATTAGTTTTTATCGATTCAAAATTCTTTTTTGAAGTAATCTTTGTTTAAATAAATCATGTGTTGAGGTTAAAAATGATTATCAAAATTTTTTGGTTTATTCACCTAAAGATTACTCCAATTTTTAACTTAATAACAATTTTAATTTTAAATCAATAATGTTATTATTAATATTTCTTAGAAAATTAGTTAATTTTTGATTTGGATAAAATTGAGGTTGGCATCCCTTCCTTTCATTTCGATTTTTTGACAGAAACGGTTTCTTTTCGCGTTTTAATTAATCTCTTATTATTTTTATAATAATTAAGTGTTTAATTGTGCTTATTCATTAAGAATCCATTCCGTTTTAGTCACTCCTTGGTATGTAATTGGTTTTTATCGATTCAAAATTCATTTTTGAAGTAATCTTTGTTTAAATTAATCATCTGTTGAGGTTAAAAATGATTATCAAAATTTTTTGGTTTATTCACCTAAAGATTACTCCAATTGTTTAACTTAATAACAATTTTAATTTTAAATCAATAATTTTATTATTAATATTTCTTAGAAAATTAGTTAATTTTTGATTTGGATAAAATTGAGGTTGGCATCCCTTCCTTTCATTTCGATTTTTTGACAGTGACGGTTTCGCTTCGCGTTTTAATTAATTTCTTATCATTTTTATAATAATTAAGTGTTTAATTGTGCTTATTCATCAAGAATCCATTCCGTTTTAGTCACTCCTTGGTATGTAATTAGTTTTTATCGATTCAAAATTCTTTTTTGAAGTAATCTTTGTAAAATCTTTATAAATCTGTAACAGAAAAATCTGTATAATCTTTAATGAGGATTACAAATATGTCAAAATTGAGGTTGACATGTATTCTTTATTAAAAAAACCTTTAAAATGAGTCCAAACATCATGCATTTATCTCAAACAACAAAAAAGATAGAATTATTTCATTATTTCTAGTTCTAGGTCCAGTGTTAGTTCTAATGACAGTGGTAGATATTTTTATTGAAACACTAGATGTTCAAAGTTTTTATAATTTAATTATTAGTCGGCTGTTCCGTATTTTATTAGTTTTTGTTATTCACATGTTCCTCGAGTTATTGACGTAGAAGTACATACAACAAATCGTTCCGGTCAATTTTCTAATCTTAAAAGTATTTTCAATTGCGTTAATTCGAATAGATACATACGTTCGTTAAAAGTATTTCGGCTTTTATTTTGTATTCGAAGAACTGAAAGCTTTCTACAAGAACCGTAAAACTTTTCCTTTTTTGACAGTTTTTCTAAAACCCGGGTTTTTAAGGGACATTTATACAGACCTCTCAGATATTTCCCCCCAAAAGTAGTTATAAAATCGAAAATTCCATTTTAATTGATGATAACATCAAATTCGTAATCTATATTAAAGTCCATTTAATTTGATACCAAACACGTCATATTTACAACAAAAAATAAAAAAAGTTAGGTTAAAATCAACAAAGACATCCGCCATCTTGATTTTTTTATAACAAATATTATTAGTTGTATCTCGGTTAATTTTTGAGATAACCCCGCCGAGTTTCGGCTCATTTTAAAGCATTTTTAAGTTTCTCCCCGATTTCAAATAAATTAAATTTTTCAAAAATTGTTATAAAATCGAAAATTCTATTTTAATTGATGATAACATCAAATTCGTAATCTATATTAAAATCTCTTTAATTTGATACCAAACACGTCATATTTACAACAAAAAATAAAAAAAGTTAGGTTAAAATCAACAATGACATCCGCCATCTTGAATTTTTTTATAACAAAAATTAGTTGTGTCTCGGTTACTTTTTTAGATAACCCCGCCGAGTTTAGGCTCATTTTAAAGCATTTTTAATTTTCTCCCCGATTTCAAATAAATTAAATTTTTCAAAAATAGTTATAAAATCTAAAAGTCTATTTTAATTGATGATAATATTAAATTCGTAATCTATATTAAAATCCCTTCAATTTGATACCAAACACGTCATATTTACAACAAAAAATAAAAAAAGTTAGTTTAAAATCAGCAATGACATCCGCCATCTTGAATTTTTTGATAAATAGCTGTATCTCGGTTAATTTTGTAGATAACCTAGAACTAGAATCATTCAGGCCCAAGTTGTAATTCTTTTTAACAATATGTGTAGCTTTAAATCGACTTGAAAAGAACATTGAAAGTCCTTTAAAATGATACCAAACACTATATATAGGTATAGTTATATAACTTCCGGTTAGNTTGTTATAAAATCGAAAATTCCATTTTAATTGATGATAACATCAAATTCGTAATCTATATTAAAGTCCATTTAATTTGATACCAAACACGTCATATTTACAACAAAAAATAAAAAAAGTTAGGTTAAAATCAACAAAGACATCCGCCATCTTGATTTTTTTATAACAAATATTATTAGTTGTATCTCGGTTAATTTTTGAGATAACCCCGCCGAGTTTCGGCTCATTTTAAAGCATTTTTAAGTTTCTCCCCGATTTCAAATAAATTAAATTTTTCAAAAATTGTTATAAAATCGAAAATTCTATTTTAATTGATGATAACATCAAATTCGTAATCTATATTAAAATCTCTTTAATTTGATACCAAACACGTCATATTTACAACAAAAAATAAAAAAAGTTAGGTTAAAATCAACAATGACATCCGCCATCTTGAATTTTTTTATAACAAAAATTAGTTGTGTCTCGGTTACTTTTTTAGATAACCCCGCCGAGTTTAGGCTCATTTTAAAGCATTTTTAATTTTCTCCCCGATTTCAAATAAATTAAATTTTTCAAAAATAGTTATAAAATCTAAAAGTCTATTTTAATTGATGATAATATTAAATTCGTAATCTATATTAAAATCCCTTCAATTTGATACCAAACACGTCATATTTACAACAAAAAATAAAAAAAGTTAGTTTAAAATCAGCAATGACATCCGCCATCTTGAATTTTTTGATAAATAGCTGTATCTCGGTTAATTTTGTAGATAACCTAGAACTAGAATCATTCAGGCCCAAGTTGTAATTCTTTTTAACAATATGTGTAGCTTTAAATCGACTTGAAAAGAAAATTGAAAGTCCTTTAAAATGATACCAAACACTATATATAGGTATAGTTATATAACTTCCGGTTAGAAATGTCAACCTCAATTTTGACATTTGTAAACGTCGTGAAAAATCCTTTAAAATAAGCCAAAACTCGAGATATAAGCAACTTCCGGTTTGAAATGTCAATGTCGTTTTGATATATTCTTAATTTTATAAAAAGTCTTAAAATTTGTCACAAAAATAAAAATATAATAAAAAAAATTCAGAAATTAAGGTTGGTATTAATATTTAAAAATTAAACTATCATTTTTTTGACATTTAAAGCTGTCAACGACGTTATTTCGACGCTTACTTTGATTGTAATTTTCTGATTTAATATTTTCTCGCATTCTTTCTCGACAACCATATGTAATAAAGAATTTTTTATTTGAAACATTCCACACATTTGACACACGTGTATGTATGTATATTAAAAAAAAACATTAATGATTTCTTTTTAATACAGATTATTGGAATTGAATCAAAACCGTTTTTCAAATCAAATTTTCGATCAACAACCGAATCGAATATTGCCGATTTACGAGAACGTTTAGAAAACTCTTCTTTACTACCACCACCCTTAAACGACGACGAAAACCAAGCAGTTCCCGGATTTATCCAAAAGAAAATAGCGAAACTTTTCCGTAAAATCCAATTTTTCACCTCCCTCGCGAACGGATTTACCACAAAAAAACCAGAACCGGATGTTGATTTTGAAGATATCGACAACGAAGATGATTTTCCAAAAAGTAATACGACTGTGATGGTTACAACGGAATCGGGGGAGTTTTCTAATTCGACTTTTGTGGAAAATGAGGTTGGAATTTCGAATGCTACGGTTTATAATAAAGGAAATAAGGAGAAAGAAGAGTTGGATTCCACTGCGAGGTTGCAAAATGTCAAATATGAGTTTTCTCCTGTTGGAATTGGAATTTATTTTATGGAATTAGTTGGGAGCTTGATTGGATTAGTTTATGGGGCTGCTCTTCAAGTTTCAAACGGTACCCAACAACCTTCTGTATAAATATAAAAGTGTATTTATTAAATAAATATGATTAAGAAAAAAAATTGTATTTTTATTGAAACTGAAATCAAGCACAAATCAGTTTTAGTTTATAAAAAAGTTGGGTTATGTTGTTTTTAAGTTCATTTTTATTTCATTTCTATTAGCAGGTAGTTTAGAATATGGCTCTTTGTATGTGGAACTCTTCTTTGAACCAAAATCAGATATTTACCCCATTGCGAAGCCCTGGATGTGGATGATCTCTGTAATATTTAGTGGATATCATATTGGAGGTGATTATTACAACGAGCGTTAAAGGTATGTGGCGGTTACGATCAATCTTTAATCTAACCTATTCCATAGAAACTTCGTTATTTATAAAAACCACAAAATACATTTATTATTAAAAAAGATTTTACAATTTTTTGACACATGACAGGTACTAATTGACATTTTACATTAATCCTAATTTCATTTTATCTAGTGTCAGTTATTCTTATTTAATTTTTGATTAATAATTAAAAAATTTAAATGATAAATGTGGTTATATCGATTCTAATGAATGAGTTAAATTGTTTTGATTATCTCAATAATCCTTTAATTAAGCTAACTTCATACAAAAATTATATTCATTTTCTATTTTATGATTAAGATGTTAAACGATAACCAAATTAAATAATAATTTAATATCAATTAAAATTTTTAAATTGTAGGAAAAGATTTATTGTTAAATTGATAAAAAATTCATTTTTACAGAATTATTTTATCGTTATATGGCGCCATCTATTATCACGATGACGTACCATACTTATTTTAATGATTATTTTTATTTTCTTCAATATGTTTTTAATTATTTTTAATGATTTAATAGCGATTTAATTTCGTCTTGAGTGATCTTATCACAAAGAAATTTTATTACAAATGAATCAAGGAAATTTTAACGGATAACATAACCTTTGCTACTTACCCCATCTAGTGGTACCACCCGGTATTAAATCGTTTTTGACATTTAGAGAAGCGCTTCAAATTGTTAAATTTCACGAAAAAGTAAGTTTAATTGAACCCAAATACGTTTTTGAACCTAAAAATTGTTTAGTTGAAGCGATTTTACGTTTTACGAAGTGATTCTTTTACTTCAAGCAAGTTGGTGAGCGAAATTTTTTCCAACACAACCTCACTTTTCTACCCCGTCAATTTTATGAGATTTTTGGGGCGATTTCTAAAATAGGATTGATTTTACGTTTTAAAAATGTAAGTTGATTCATTTAATAGTGATTTAATTACAAATTAATCAAAGTTTTAATAGGTGACATAACCTCACTTTTTTAACCTGTCAATGAAACGTCAAAAACTAAAGGTAATAAAACGCGTTGATTTTGATAATAAGGAAAATTTATTTCTTGGAAATATTTACAGAGTAGAAATTTGAAATATAATAAGTTTTTCGTTTACATTTCTCTTTTTATTAGAATATTTGCTTTACCAACCGACTCTAAATCGTAGTAAATATGTTTTCGTTAATTTTTTTTTAATAATAATTTAAAAATAACTTCGTTTTAGAAAGTTTGAGCATTTTTAACTATTTCATAACAATCTATTTAATCATTTTTAAATCATTCACATTTAACTCTAACAATGTTACAATTTGTGCATCACTTTTAATATGAGAAGTGTTCGATAACATTTATTTGATGAAAAAACACACAGAATCTTCGTTGAGTTAATTTTGGTCCCATTTAACAAAAAGAAAAATTATATTTACACACCAAAAAGTAGCAAAAATAAAATTAAAGTCGATTATCATCTTTCTAGGTTCTTTTTCTCGGTGCGTTTATCATTAAACCCCTCTGCTACATCCACCATCACCTCCGTCACAGCTTCCAACGCAGAATCCACGGAAATCTGATGGTGTTGCTGCCAATTATAAGAACAAGGGGCCGAATTAGCCCTCCCGGATATCCCAATGTGCATTTTTTGAGGCGGATTTTCCGGATTACTCTGACGGTGAGCTTCGCGTTTGTGCAAAAATGGATTCTACACAAAATAACATTAATTAATAAATAACTCCTTTTAGGTCATCTTAATCAAAGAACCTACTTGAAACGAATGTTTTTTGAGCATATGTTTGATGAGGATTAAAGTGTCTAATTTCGGTATTGAAGTAACAACTTTAGCGACGTCCTCTTCGGTTATTTCAACGAGGTGGCAATTTTCCTCTTCGCTGGGAAGCTGATAAATCCCATCTTTGGTGACCCAAGGATGTTGCTGCGTAAAGAAAAACAAAAAATGAATCAAAAATCGCCTAATTAAAGTAATTACCTTTATTTCTTGTAATGTGATCCTCTCCGAAGGATTTTTAACCAACATTTTCCTAATTAAATCCTTTAATGTTTCAGATACGGCTAAATTACTCGGAAAATCGATACTTTGCGTTCTTATTTTTGCGTAAAGAGCCACTATATTTTGTTCATAAAACGGAACTTGCCCATAAACGAACGCAAATAACGTCACCCCCATCGACCAAATATCGGCGGCCTAAAACGGGGTAATTAAATTAATTTTATTTATTTATTTGTTGTAGATTTACCTTCCCGCTGAAGGTTTCTCGATGCTCCAAAGCTTCCGGGGCTGTAAACGCCGGACTTCCGGCCGTTGATGATAAAAAAGCGTCGGTTCCGTCGAATTCGTTACAAACCCCCAAATCGGCTATTTGCAACCTCCCCGATTCGCTTAAAAGCAAATTCGCCGGCTTTATATCTCTATGAATAATCCTTTGATAATGTACTAAAACAAGAATTCTTATAATTCTTTAAAAAGTGCTTTAAAAAAAAGAAAATTACAATATTCAATTCCTAAAATGACGTCTCTAAAATAATTCCAAGCTTGTTCTTCAGTTAACGGCCTCTCAGTGGGTACTTGTATAACCTCGCCTCTTTCAACTAACTCAAAAACCATGTACAAATGATCCTCGACCGGGTCGTCTAAAACCTCGACCAATTTAACCACGTTGGGATGATCCAACTTTTTTAAAACCGCAATTTCCCGATAAACTTGTTGTAGAGGTTGTAAAGTTTCTTTTTTTCTCCCGTCGAATTTTTTCGGCGGTAATCTTCCAAACATTCCCGCCCGTTTTAACAATTTCTTTTTCGATAAAATCTTCATCGCATAATGCGTATCGTCTTCCTCGTTATACGCCAATTTAACGATTCCGTAAGATCCCTGCCCGATCGAATCCATCAATCGATACTGATTCAATTGAAGGTACATTCCGGTTTTTTCGATCGAAACGCGACGAGATTCTTTTAAAGGTTGCCGCTTCCGGGTGCTTCGCGGCGAATTCGCTGGGCTTCCGTACGGGGAAAAGGGGCAATTCGGGTAAATTGCGCGGTTTTGAGTAGATTCGTTGATAAAACTGTGCGATTGTTGAATTGGTTCGGTCTTTTTTTGATGTTGAACTCGATCGCCGCCGCGTTTTAGTGTAATTTGAGAGACGCGATCCGGTAAACTTGACTCTGACAGGTGCTTTAAGGAAGGCACTTGGTTGTTTTCTATCACAGGACTAGTTGATGGATTACGACGAAAATCTAAGTCTTGGGGGGTGTTATGGGGGACATCTACTGCTTTTCTTCTGTTAAAAAATATAATTTTTTTATATTAAAAATTAATTTTTTAAAAAAGTAACTCCATCTAGCGGTAATTCCATATTAATTAGTATTTTGACATTTCAAAACCACTAATTATACAAGAATCATTAAATTTTACTAAAAAATAAGCTTTACGCTGAAATTTAGTAAGATAAGTAAGTAAAAAATAACTTAAGTAATATTTAAGAAAAAGTTAAAAATAAATCAATAAATTAACGCCATCTAGTGACAATCCTCCATATTAATAACATATTTTTTATTGAAAATTTGGAGTGATTCATTAAAATAAAATCGTAAGTCCATTAATTATATAATTCGTGAATTTGTTGATTAAAGCTAACTAATTTCGAAATATTTTTAGAATCATTTTATTATTTTACTTAAAAAAAAAATAAATAAATTAGCGCCATCTAGCAATAATCCTCCATATTAATAGTATTTTGACATTTCAAAACCACCGCTTATATTCCTTCTTAAAATCATCAAATTTTACATAAAAATAAGCTTAATTGCACTAAATAACCCATCAAAATACATTTTTGAACGCACACAGTACCTATTTAAAGTGATTTTAGGTTCCACGAGAAGATTTTTCCCCCAAAAATGAATCAAAGAAGTTTTTATCGAAACATAACCTCACTTTTTTTTATTGGAAATTTGGAGTGATTCATTAAAATAAAATCGTAAGTCTATTAATGATATAATTTATGAATTTGTTGATTAAAGCTAACTAATTTCGAAATATTTTTAGAATCATTTTATTAATTTACTTTAAAAAAAATAAATAAATTAGCGCCATCTAGCAGTAGTCCTCCATATTAATAGTATTTTGACATTTTAAAACCACTGCTTGTATTCGTTCTTAAAATCATCAAATTTTACAAAAAAATACGCTTAATTGCACCAAATAACCCATCAAAATACATTATTGAACGCACAAAGTACCTATTTAAAGTGATTTTAGGTTCCACGAAAAGATTTTTCCTCCAAAAATGAATCAAAGAAGTTTTTATCGAAACATAACCTCACTTTTTTTTATTGGAAATTTGGAGTGATTCATTAAAATAAAATCGTAAGTCCATTAATTATATAATTTATGAATTTGTTGATGAAAGCTAACTAATTTCGAAATATTTTTAAAATCATTTTATTAATTTACTTAAAAGAAATNATCGAAACATAACCTCACTTTTTTTTATTGGAAATTTGGAGTGATTCATTAAAATAAAATCGTAAGTCCATTAATTATATAATTTATGAATTTGTTGATGAAAGCTAACTAATTTCGAAATATTTTTAAAATCATTTTATTAATTTACTTAAAAGAAATAAATAAATTAGCGCCATCTAGCAGTAATCGTCCATATTAGTAGTAATTTGACATTTCAAAACCACCGTTTGTATTCGTTCTTAA